CTAGATCCCTCTCAAAAAAGGTTTCACCTTTGACTTGGCACAGAGATTAAGAAAAGTGAAATTGTGTTGTTGAAAGTGGAAAGTGGAACATATTTTTGGGACAAATAAGAAGAGGAAATGGGATGGAGGGAGAATACTAGTACCGTAGTAAATCAACATATAAGTCATTGTATTATTATAGAGATGTGATCATTTTCTTTTACTGTTTTAACAGATTTCAGAACTTGTGAAGATGAGGAAGGGGATAAAAAGAAGAAAGGCACAGTTGCTTTCATTATTGTTGGGTCGTTGGTTGGATGCATTGTCTTGATCATATCTGGCTTTCTCTGGTGGTGGTGTAAAGGCTCTTCTTCGTTTTACTCGAAAAGAAAAAACAAAGGTATTGAAACGTGGTGATAGCATATAGGAACTTGGAATAACAAAAAAAGTAATTTTTTTAAAAAATAACAATCTCCTTGACATTACACACTTACATGTTGAGGTGTTTGAGGTCGGCGGGACTTGAATTACCAATATAAGTGTCTTCCCATTGGACAGATGTGGAAGGGGTAGAGTTGCAAACGATTTCATATACTTTAAAACAAATGAAAGCCGCTACAAACAACTTTGACGACGCAAACAAGCTAGGAGAAGGTGGCTTTGGTCCTGTGTACAAGGTATGCCATGAGGAAGATGACTTGTACATTTATGGTCTTCCTCTTTTAAGACATGGTCCTTGTGTAGGGTCAATTAGGTGATGGGACCTTGATTGCTGTGAAGCAATTGTCCTCCAAATCAAGGCAGGGAAACCGCGAGTTTTTGAATGAGATTGGGATGATTTCTTGCTTGCAGCATCCCAATCTCGTTAAGCTATATGGTTGTTGCATTGAAGGAGATCAATTGTTGGTGGTATATGAGTACATGGACAACAATAGCCTCGCTAATGCATTGTTCAGTAACAATGGTAAGTCTCTCCCATCCCTCCCCCCAAGCTAACATGGCCATATGGAGTCTTGGCCCATTTGCGCCTTAACTGTCTCAAGTACCTACTAATCCCTCTATCTCACTTCGGTTGTGTGTTACGATGCTTGACGGAAAGTTATTTTCAATGCAATTTGTTTAAAAATTGATATAAAATGAAATTTATATAACTAAAATCTTTATAAAAAAGTATACAAAACAATTAGTGCCAGAATTATACTCCATCCGTCCTAAAATTAACTTTCCGTTTGACTTTTCACGGTCTCCAATGCAACACTTTGATGATTAATATCTCTATTTTTATATAAATATATATTATAAAAATAATATATTTCAAAACTATGTTTCCAATGAATGTATTGATAAAAAATTTACATAAAAATTTAATATATTTTTTCGGTAATTTGCGGTTAAAGTTTAAAAAGTTTGACTGTAGAACTCAAACTGGGAAGTTAGTTTTAGGATGGAGGGAGTATAATTTAGTCAAATCAGTAGTGAAAATAGGCAAAGAAAGATATCGTATGTGAATAATGAACTGAAAATTCATTTTGTTGAGGGAGTGACACATGTTTTGTCGAACTGAGGTCCCTTTATTTTCAAAAGGACAAGAAAGGTCCAGCCTCTTTTGGCTTCTTGGAAATAGGACATGGGAGTTATTTCGATAAAACTTGCGTCACCTGTGAGTAATTTTTTAAAATTTAGATAATGAAAATTTTGAATTTTTGTTTTTTTCATGGCATTTGATTGTTTGTAAACTTAAGAAATTTGGTACATTACATCTAATACTTTGTCCCAAAAAAAACATGACCTAGTTTGACTCTTACGGTGTATAAGAAAAATGTTGAAAAGTAAAGTGTATGACTAGATTTTGTTTAGATGAGAGGGAAACCATGTGAGCCAAGTATGTTTTGGAATGGAGGGAGTATCTGATTTGTGCCCCACATTTTATTTAAACTTAGTTTTCTTAGCTCCATCTGTTAGATTTTGCAATATGAATGGCGATTCTCGTTCAGGTTCTGGGATGATATTGGACTGGGCAACAAGATTCAACATCTGCTTGGGGATCGCTAGAGGTCTGGCCTTTCTTCACGAGGAATCGACCCTTAAAATTGTTCATAGAGACATCAAAGCTACAAATGTTTTGCTCGACCGAAACCTGAGCCCCAAAATTTCAGACTTTGGATTAGCAAGGCTCAATGAAGGTGAGAAGACCCATATCAGCACCAGAATTGCTGGAACTGTGTAAGTCGATTGGTTCGTCTTTCTCTCATAAATGACCCTTTTTTTCTTCTGGGTATATGGTTATACTGTATTTTTGGAAAAAAAAAAGTTCAATTTTTTTTAAAGATTTTTATTTTACTCAGGGGGTATATGGCACCAGAATATGCATTATGGGGTTATTTGAGCTACAAGGCAGATGTTTACAGCTTTGGGGTTGTACTGCTAGAAATAGTTAGTGGCAAGAGCAACAATAACTACCTTCCCAGCAACAATTGCATTTGTCTTTTGGATTGGGTACACTCTTCTAATGTCCCGGAAAAGTTTTATACTCTAACAATCCTAATGTCCCTACTTGTAGGACGCTACTCGCTAGATTACCGGAATTGCCCCTACATGCTAAAAAACACCACTTTGCTCATACCCTATATACTACTCCCTCCGTCCCATTTTATATCATCTGTTTTGACTTTTGGGCATATTTAAGGAAAAGAAAAAATAGTTTTGATTTTTCAAAATTGCCATTGCTTTTTAGGAGGGGTGACGATGAATGAGAAGATAAGGTGGAGAAGAGTGACTTATTTTAGGGGTGGTTTAGGTATTTTACTCTTAAAAGTTTACTATAACAAGTAACTGACAACTTATTTTGGAACGGGAAAAAAAAACAAACAGACAATTTAAAATGAGACAGAGGGAGTACTACTAACCATAGCTTTGTTCCAGGCTTGCCACTTGCAGCTAGGGGGAAACCTAGAAGAGCTCATTGACCCAAAGTTGTGTGGTCGGTTCAACAAGAGCGAAGCAGAAGTTGTAGTGAGAGTTGCACTCGCTTGCACGAGTGCAACGGCATCACTGCGACCGATGATGTCAGAGGTTGTGGGAATGCTTGAGGGACACATTGCAGTTCCTTATGAGGTCCCGGAGGCGGGGGTAGACGATTTGAGGTTCAAGGCCATGAAAGACCTCCGCAGGGAGAGACTCGAGCATAGTTCCAAGTCTGGTTTTGGTTCTTCGTCTTCTACTTCCGCTTCGGGTCAATATCATCCGTCGCCAATATAATATTCCTTATTTAGTTGATCATACTCCCTCTGTTCTCAAAAACACTTTCTCTTTCATTTTTTCCACTTCCAACATCAAGTGAACTTGGTTTTCTTCATCATCACCATTGGTATTATTATTTAAAAAAAATGCATCGTTTTGCAAAATTATGAGTTAATTTTGAAAAAGAAATAAAGCATAGTCTTATCCTTAAAATATGAGTGATATGTTTTTATCCTCAAAATTCGACCTGAATTAGTTTTTTTTTAGAAAAAAAGTTAACCAACTATGGGATTGGTGACAATCTGCATCTCGGGTCTTGATCGTTCTAAAACGTTCTTCCCAATTCCCCTTTTTTCCATGTCCTAAACTACCTTCCCATTCCAAAAATAAAAACTATTCACACACTAAAAGACTTAAATATCATCCAATCTTTACCTCTAGTAATCCACCCACATTAACCCCATATCTTGCCATCTTTGATCTATCTTCCCTAACCTTTCTACTTCAGCAGTCCGCCACAACCATTATCGCAACTCTTCATTTTATTCTCTATCATTACGGCTTCTAGATAACTTATCTTGTTGGTATATTTTTATCAATCATATGATAAGACATTTTGTCGCATCTTTTTTCGTAGAACTTTTGATATAAATTGAACAATGTAATTGATAATTTTTTATGATTTATCAATTTACTAATAAAGTAATTTTTAAGACAGGAAGTTTATTATTCAAAATGAGACGTAAGTCAAATTAGAGCATTAGACGGGCGGGATATATACTTTTGTTGAGTTTGTGGATGAAGTTTTAGCCCAGCTGGAGATTTTAAAATTTGAACTATAAGTATTTTCTATGAGTATATTTTAATTAGATATTGAAACACAGCATTAGGGTTAACCCTTCTGGCTTGTCGCAAGTCGAGCTCCTCGCCCCAAACGCGGCGCCAAACCGCTTTGGTTTTGCGGCAGGAAATCGCGACGGCCGCCCCCTGCAGGCGGTCAGCCGAGCCGGAGATTTTTATTATTATTATTTTTTCAACCCTATAAATTCAACACATCTTTCACTTCAACCATCCAATCTCATCTCTCTAAATTTACCTATTTTCTTAATTTCTCTTCATATATCTAAAAAAGGCTCTTCCTCCAACATTTTTATTTTAATTATATCTTCCACTTCAATCCATCCATTTTTATTTTAAATATATGTATATTGTTATTTTTTTAAAAATTATAATTAAAAATAATGAATAATGTAAGAAAAATGGAGAGACGGATTTTCAGAGTGATATGATTGTAAGATTTTAGAGCGGGGGCCACATGACAGAAAAATTAGTAGAATGTTGATGTGGCAGAAGTTAAGGCAGAGTCGAATATCTTATGGTTGTAACTTGGAAATGCTCTTACCAGTTACCTTTTTACTATTTGCATTATTGCTGTTACTCTATTTCTTTCTTTCCCACATCGGCCTTTTTAACGATTCTTTTTTTCTTTTTATATGGCCGCCACAAAAAGGTTATTGCCAATTGAGTTAGAATTAACTAGACTCGTACCCGGCACGGCATAAATATAAACTATATAATTAGGGAAAGCATTGATGAAATTAAAGAAAATGATAAAATTAAATTATAATAATAACATATACACATTAAACAATAAATGCATTTGTAAACATTCACAAATTAGTATTGGGAAAGAACTATGAAACCAAACAAATAGAGCCCCTAGCCAGGAAACAAATCTATATACTTATGTTTCAAACATGAAAATCTAAGATTATAACATCATTTGAAACCTATTTTTGTTTGAAGAAAATAATCTGTTTCCAGGTCCTTATAGATTTCTTAGCAACAAAACTGATGTATCCCCCCTTAACAGAGTAATGAAGAAAGAAACCAAACCTCTTACTAATATGTGTTAAAATAAAAATGACCAAGTCATAGCGGTACATGTCCCAAAAAACTCTATGACAGTAAGCAACCAAAGGTAGTTTGCACGCCACATGAGGCTTTCTTCTTTCTTGTTACCTTTGGTGCACATTTGCTTCACGCCTTTTTGACCACTTGTGGCTTTCTTATTTCTTGATTTCTGCACTAACCCTCCTCTTGCCTTCCCCGGGTATAACCTTCGTTGTAAGGTTCACAGGAATCGTTTGAGGATTTAACTTGGCATTGCAATGAGGGACATTTGTGTCATTTTGTTTCTGCCTTGGAGTGTTTATCTCATGTGCAATGAATTAGTTTTCCACTATTGGCACGGCAAGACTTTGCCTTTCATTTCTATAAAATACTGATATTTAAACCATCAATATCAACAGACTGTCAAAAATGTAGGTTGCTGAGGGAAAGCAGAACTGTATTGTCCCCTAGAGTGTGGCTTTTTAACAGCTAAAAGTTTCTTGTCAAAAAAACTGTGTTTTTCATAATGGAATAGCACCTTTTGAGTTTCCCCAAATATTTTGAATGCATCTGTCGCACCGGGGAACTTTGTTTGCTTGACCAATTCATCAACCTTTATTAAGGCAGTGCTGCCAGTGCATGACCAATGAAGTCCGCTTTGAGTTTCCAAATGATTTCTGCAAGCACAATGTGCCAAATTCATTATTTGTTGGAAGCTAAAAGTTAAACAGATAGTGCCACACTATAGAATAATAATCTTCTAAAAGCTAAACCAATAGTTAACTTATTCTGTAATGAAAATGTACCATAAAAAAGAACATTTATGTATCATGATTTGTATTTAAAAAAGTAGTGCTAAAATATTGAATAATAATCTTTAAAACAGTGTGCAATAAAAAAGACATACTTGGTGGCTAGTGGCTATGTATAGCTAACCGGTTCAGAAAGCTATTACCTTATGCAGTTACAATTATGCTCTAAAGGTAACATCTTGGATTGTAAAGCAAATTCTGCATAGTTTCATACCAAAGAAGCTCGACATTCTTAATACTCGCACAAAATAAGAGACCAAATATGTTAAAAAAAGAATTAATATATGAAAAGAAATTGTGATAACTACCCTAATAAAAAAGAACCCATCGAAAAAAATTTCAAATCTTTCATATCCTCCTCTAAAACTACCCTGCATTAACGGTCCGTCTACCTTCTCTTAATGTAGATAGTTTTTTTTTCAAAATGAAAAACATATGGCCAAATATTTGTAATATTACTACTATGAAACAAAATAAATCGACCACCCCTGGTCCAGGGGCCCTGGATAACCTTCTTATGTGACACAACCCAATACTATAGAAGTAAATTCTTGACTAACCAAAGTAATGTGCTACATTTTCCAAAGTAACACCCATAATACACCAATATCATGGTGTATTTTAAGCAATTAATACACATAAAGAAGTAGCTTAAAGTTTACCTTAAAAAAGGAATTTAGCTCCTCGACTTTTTTCTACTTTGTTCATACAACTATGTAGACATGTAGCAGCCAATATCATGGTTTTGCACTCTAACTTCATCCTGGACAGCATCAGACATATACTTGAGTAAATATGTAAAATCGAAGATAATAAGAAGAAGAAAAAGAAGATGAGGAAGTAGAAGACCTGCAGCTGTAGGCCAACCGTCTTTATGTTTTATCTGTCCCTGCATCACCGTCTACAATTGTTTTCTTTGTTCATCACTGCATCCTAGAATAGTTAGTCATAAATAGTGCTTCACATAAACTTAAAGAAAAAATATGGACTATACTTACAAAACTTGCAATCTCCTATCTCTTCTTTTGACCAAAAAAGTGAAGAGAAATTATTTCAAAGCTCCATGATGCCAACAAATATTTTACAAAATTTTACACCATGTACAAAGATGAATGTCAAATAAAATGATTATGTATATACCTAAAACAGTCCCATTTAAGTTTGCCAAACATGGGGTTGAGCCTCCTTAATTCCTGGATTGAGGCAATAACAATTTTTCAGAAGCATTAGGATTTGGCATTAAAGCAAAGAAATAACAGAAGCGCACCTGAGGTTCTTCATTGAGGTCTAGGACTTCATCTTCTTCACTGGTCTCTTGTGTTGGAGTTCTTAGAGGATTTATAATAGGTTTAATAAGTAAAACTTATTAAAATTAATGCACAAAATTCAACCGCAAATTGATGAAACTTTATCACCTCCGAAGCAATGAACCCACTGACCTTACCTTGGAAGTGGCAGAGATTCTTCTACAGGAGAATTACTCACAAAATTAATTTCAATTATTGAAATCTTCCAAAGCAGCTAACTAAATCTTCTCCTCGGATCTATGTACTGGCTTAACGGGGAGATGGTGACGATGAACCGCCTTCCTCCTAAGATCCAATCACTGCAGATGTCGTTACGATCGAAACCCTAAACCCAGACGTAGTGAGCCAGAGAGAGAGAGAATAAGGAGGAGCGAAGAAGAAAATACGGAGTATAAGAAAACCCTAGTCAAAACAATGGCTAAGCTTCTCCAGTACGCTAGCTTCTCCAGTACGCTCTCCCTCGTATCGACCATTCTTTTTTACTGTAGCTTTGAGCGGGAAAAATTACTGTTCATTTTTACCTTTAGCTTTGTATATAGTAAGATTAGATAAAGATCATTAATTACTAGTGCAATGAAAGAAGTTGATGAAATTTTATTGAGGTTCTTAAAATTTAATCTCTATAAAATCTAATCAACTTCTTTCATTGCACATGAAATTATTAATCTTTTTTTTAAACGTTCAACAAAATATTTTATTTTATTTACATGTTACATACTCCATTCTTCTAATGATGTGGATCACTTTTGAAGATAGATTTAAGTTCATTTGCACAATTGCACTCATGTTCACATGAAATTATTAATCTATTTTTAAAACGTTCAACAAAATATTTTATTTTACATGTCACATACTCCACTCTTCTAAAGATGTGGATCACTTTTGAAGATAGATTTAAGTTCATTTGCACTCATGTTCTGGATAATTTCATGTATGCTACTTAAACTTTTGAGAAATTTTTTTTCTGGTCTTGAACTTCAAAATCTATCGCAAAAATACTTGAACTTCTAGCATCCTTTCACTAATACTCCCTCCATCCAACAATGAACTTCTCATTATAAATAAAATGCAAAATCTTATCTTTTTTTAAATTACTCCGTACTTTATTTACAAATTGGTATATCATAAAAAAGTACAAATTGCATTATTTAAAACTATATCAAAAAGTTCTACAAAACAAGATGTGACAAGAATATTTTGTCTTATCAAACGATTGATGAAATGTGCAAATTAACAAACATTAGTTATTGAGACACCACAATATATAGTAACTGAAACTTTATTGTTAGACGAAAGGGTATTATTTTAGACCATTCGGTGAATAGCCGTGTTAATGCATTGTTCGGTAACAATAATAGTCTCTCCCATCCTCACCTTCGTGGCTTCGTCCATCGTAGCTCGGGTCAAATCATCCATTTCCGCCTAAACTCTCAAGTAGCTACTACTCCCTCTGTCTCAGGTCAAATCCAGTATCGTACGTGTTACGATACTTGATTGATAGCTCTTTTCAATTCGATTTATTTAAAAATATATATAAAATAAAAAAAATAAAATTTATATGATTAAAGTATTTAAAAAATTATACAAAGCAATTAGTGTCAAAAGTATATATACTTTTGTCAAATGAGTAGTAAAAATAGGCGAAAAAGATATCATATGTGAATAATGAACTGAAAATACTTTTTGAGATGGAGGAAGTGACGCTGGTTTTGTCGAAATAATTTTCAGGTCCCTTTAATTTTGGTTCTTCGTCTTCTACTTTCACTTCTGGTCAATATAATCCGTCGCCAATATAATATTCCTTATTTAGTTTATCATATATATAAACATCAACTGAACTTGGTTATCTTCATCACCACCATTGGTATTATTATCAATAAAAAATGCATCATTTTGCAAAATTATGAGTTAATTTTGAAAAAAAAAAAACATAACCTTACCCTAAAAATAGGAGCGATATGCTTTATCTTAAAATACGACCTAGATCAGTTTTTTGTTTTTTGTTTTTTTGAGAAATTTACCTAAATAGGACTAAAACATAATGATTTTTCCAATATAGGACCATATGTTTTTATTTCCCAATGTAGGACTTTTGGTCATTATCAAGTAGTCATTATTCAAGTAAATGTCTAGCATTACTGGATATTATTCCTCCCACTAGGTCATTATTAAGTCCTAATTAGGGAATAAAAAAGTTTAAGTCCTACATTAAGAAAGTCATTATGTTTTAGTCCTATTTAGTGCAAATTTCACTTTTTTTTTTAAAAAAAATTAACTTACTGCACCACTATACTGGTGCCGATCTGCGCCCCGGGTCTGATACTCTCCTGAGTCTCCTCCGATGCATATATGTCATATGTGCAGTGGGTTATAAAGTATTTCAATTTGTCTATTTTAATTTTTTCACGTGTCACTATTTTTCTCACTTTTTAATACAAATAATACAAATGTTTAATAATTTTCATGGCACTAACCTATGTTCTAAAAATTATGGATAAAGATGTGTTTTTTATTAATTTAAATTGACCTTGGAAAGCATCAATATTTGAAATTAGAAAATAATAGTTATACTACTGCATTACGAATAAAACAACCCAAAAAATGTGTAAAAATAAATTCAGATAACAAAGATACTTTATTTTATTTGATCAAGTTTTTTTTATTTGCTTCAATTTTTTAAATTTCTTCCAATTCCTTCCACCATCTTACTTTTTTTTCAACCTTTTAGAAAGGCTTTATGTTGTAGCTATGACACTGTACCATCACACCATCATCAACAAAACTTGTATATTGTAGTGATGTCTTTGTATCTTAGCTCATTATTTACTCCCTCTAAAATCTAATTTGATCTGGTCTACAATTCAAAAATAATAGCCCGGAGGTTAGGGCCATTTATATATATTGATTAACCCAATACAAACACCTTAAAATCTATCTTTCAATAAACTCTTTTAAAATCTTTAGAATTTTCAATACCTTTATATTTAGATGGATATTTTAAAGTTTTTATTGAATAAATCAAAATTTTAATTGACTGATGGGTATATTGGGCCTGACTCATGCTGGACGGTCGATAAGCTTAACAGGCTGGTCGACCCACCTTGGCCTTGAGACGCGTGTCATTAAGGTGGGCCGCAGCTTCTTGGGTTGATTACTTAGATAGAAGTTTACCTAGTTTAATTTTCTAAATGGATGCAATCGGATCCCACGATTTAAGAATCAATTCTTTGGTTAAATATTTTCACTTCAATATTATAATCATTTTTATTCCATAATTATTTAGATAAGAGATTGTGATTCGTGAGATAATAACTCGATGAAATGAAGTTCCACCAATGACTTTTTAAAATTTCAATTTTTAGAACAAAAAATCTAATTAATGGATTATCCATAAACTCTTAAAATCTAAAAAAATATAGACTCAATATTGAATATACGCCCTTAGTTGTCCACGTACTTATTAAAAATTTTAATTTTAAAAAGTGAGTTAAAAATGTAAAATAAATTATTCAAATAAGTTTATCGCTTATTTAAATTGTTAGACAACTATAGCAGTAATGTAGTTATGGTAGAATTCTTATATTTAGCAGTTGTGATAATTATGGAATCCTAGTTGTGTTAGGATCTCCACATCTATATATACCTTATGTAACCCCCTTTATTCCTTGAGTGAAATTCTTATTCAACTATTCAACATGGTATCAGAGCCTGATCCAATTTTTTCTCCTCCCTCAACCTACACACATTAAAAAAAAAACCTAGCAGTATACCCGATTAGGGTTTCTTGCTTCTGTTCGCCGGACCAGGCAGTCGCCGTCCACCGCCTTCCTTCGTCAGCCATGGCACCACTGTCAACCGATCCCATGGATCGTCTTCCTACTGGTCTCAAGTTATTTGTCCGGAATCTCCAATCTCTTACACCGGCAAAACTTGATGACACAAACTATCCTTCCTGGTCTGCTACGGTGCGTGCGAATCTCATGGCTCATCGTTTGCTTGGGTACGTCGATGGCACCGAACCAAAACCTCCCTCTATGATATTGGATGAAAAAGCCGCCGCTCCTGCTAAGGATGAACCTCCGATCCTTAAGCCTAATCCTGCTCATGAGACTTGGCTGGTTGTGGACGCTCAACTCCGGGCATGTCTTCTGGCTATCGTCTCTCCAGTCGTGCAAACCCATATCCATGCGCTCCCTACCGCGGCTGATATCTGGAACCACCTAGAGCAGCGGTACAATTCTTTAT